TGCTTAGGCAAGCACGGAGACTGGGGTTTGATCACCAGTACCACGTGCTGCGCTGGCCCTGCCCCCGGGTGTGCTGAGCCAGTGATGGAGCCAGGGTGTGGTGGCACACACCTGTAATCCCAGCACTGGGGAGGCTGAAAACAGGAGAATCACTGTGAGTCTGAGCTGCATTGTGAGACCCTGTGGAAAAAAAAAATTTAGGTTTCATCCCTAAGGTACATCATTAAGTTCAAATAAATATTAAAAAAATTAAAAAGTCTGAAAACCAAGTACTTCTGGCTCCAAACATTTTGGATAAGTGATATCAGCATGTGTGAACTTTTGATATTAAAAAGATGATGCCTTTCCTCAGCATCAACGTACCAGTGACCAGTCACAACTACTCATTCCCTGCCTTACAAAATAAAGGGATACAAAATAAAAAGTGATGCATAAACAATAAAACAGTAAAATAAAATAACAAAAAATAATATGAGATAAAACTAAAACAATTTAAGTGCAAGTTTAAAATAAAAACAAAACTCAGAAGAACTTGTATATCATACCAACAAGTGATCAAAAACCAGACACATTTTTATTTACATGTTTTCAAACTTGCAACAAGAAATAAATCTGAATTAAATACAAAGTGAAATTAGTTTAGGATATACTTTGTTAGTCAAAAGCTTCCTAATACAATGCATTCATCTGCCTACATATTGTCTTGGCCTTGACCAGGATGCAAATTTCGGCTGGACAAGGTTTAATTCTAGTTCATTTCAGTGGTCTTCACTGGGCCACCTCAGGAGGTATTAGGAAAGGTATATTGTATTAGTTTCAGGAACAACATTTTTTATGTAATTATTAAAATGCAGCCAAACAAATTTCCAAACATGGAACCAACAAAGTATCTACAAATACACTCCCATGAATAAATACATATGTGGATATTTATTAAAACATTATTTGTTGAGAGAACAGCCTCAGGAACAATAGAAGTCTAAGCAAATATAACACAATACTTCCAAAAGGTGGTATATTCTGTAGACTTTTCAAAACATTAGGTATCTCTATGTTTCTGGATATGGAAGGAATCTCTAAAACATAATACTACATGTAAGTAATCAAGATGAAGAAGAGCATGCGCAGCATTTTGCAATTTCTTTTAAGTGGGAGCAAGCAATTGGTGCATATGTCATTATTTATGGATGCTCCTGGGTTTCCTCCTTGGGAAGGCATCAGAAAGGCTAGGAGACATGATTACAGGGAAATTTTATCTCTAATATATATGTTGGTTCTTTTGAATTTTTTAATGTGTTAGCTTTTAAAAAAAATTTTTTAAATAATCAGGGGCCCGTTATTATATTCTTGTTATACTTAAGTCAATCTTTAACTTAACATTTTTAGTTATTGAGAAGATCTAAAGAACACTTAATGTTCATGAAAACCTTGAACTAGGTATAGAAATGATGAAGTACAAGCATATGGACATTTTGAAGCTCTCATGTGTGCAGAATTAAAAGAGAAAATAATAAAGACACCACCATCAGAAATCTAAGTAATAAGTGCAGGCTAAATAGCTCAGTGCATTAAAGCGCTTGCAAGCAGGCACAGGGCCAAGGGTTCGATCCCCAGGCCTTCTGTGCCGGCCCTGCCCCCAGGGCACGCTGACACGGCAATTGAGACTGAGCTTGGTGGTGCACACTAAGCTGTAATCCCAGCTCTTAGGAGACTGTAAACAGGCAGATCAATACAAGCCTGATCTAGTAGTGACACCCTGAACACCCTGTAAACCCTTCCCTAAAATGTGAATAAAAAACATCAAAAATGAAACTTGTCAAAGTGGAGGAGGAGAGGGAGAAGCCCCCAAATGAGCCAAAAGTCATAGCAGTTCTGTACACCTGTACAGAACTTACAGGCTTCTAAAGGAATTTATTTTATTTTATTTTTTAAAGAATACAAAATAGCAATAAGAAAAACAGTAACAGAAATGATACAAAATTTCACTAAACAAAGTAATAGAAATTCATCAATGGTTGCTGTATTACATGAAGTTATCTTCAAACTAGTTAAGCTACTAGATATAGCCATGTAAAATTGATTTAAAATAAAACAAAAAAACACCAAAACTCTTGTAACAAATTAAAAAGAAATGAAATAAGAACAAGAAAAAAAGCATTAACTGCTCCTTTCAAAAGACCAGCAAAAGTTAGCAGTAAAATTATGCAAATTATCTCTATATATACAGAGATATATCTTTTCCCTTCTTTCTTTTGTCCTTTTCCTCATTCCTGTTCCAGGTACACTTCTGATATTTAAATTTCATTTTTTTAAAAAATGGTCCTTTATTTATATCCCTCCCTTTTTTTGTTTTGTTTTGTCAGAGATGGGTGTTTCACTGTTGTAAGAGAAGTTGTATTTGGAGATGTCTTTAAAGGTCTTTTTCATAGGTGATGCCGGACCAAAGATTGTAGATACTTGAATTCAGCAAAATAACCCAATATAGCCCAATAATCCACAGTAGTCTGATATTGACAATTGTCTGATGTTGTTGACGTGAGCCTTTTACAGCTCAGCGTAGTAATATAGGTTTACTTTTATACCTTGTAGTTATACTTTTCTGCTGAATGGTTAATACCAAGTTAAAGCAAGAACTATATAACTAAAAATACAACTTTTGCTATCTGACAAGGTCAGTCAAATCCCCTCAGGATTTACCTTGTAACTATGTACAGCACCTTGTGTGTCTTTTGTCAGTGTCAGCTATCTGGATGAGTCATGGCCATTGCTTGACCAATTTGCTCTCTTTGAAAGCCTGAGAAATTTTTTTCTCCTTATACACACTCTATATCATCGATCGCTTTCCTCTGATGGGAGCTTGTCGGTTAGCTTAGTTGTTTAAGTGCCTAGGCAGGCAAACCCACCCAGGCACAGGGGACCGCGGTTTGATCCCCAGCCCCAAGTGCCTTACAGACACCCCCATTAAGGTAGCCTGAGCCATCCAAAAAAGAAAAAAATCCTTCTCAACTTTTTGGGGCCTTATCAGATAGGTCAGTTGTGTAATGCATCACTTGAGCAAATGCAGTGTGGCACATAGGACCGCGGATAGATTCCTGGCTCCAGAAGCTGTACCAGACCCATCCTTAAGGCAGCCTGAAGTAGGAAAAGAAAGAAAGAGAGAGAGAGAGAGAGAGAGAGAGAGAGAGAGAGAGAGAGAGAGAGAGAGAGAGAGAAAGAAAGAAAGAAAGAAAGAAAGAAAGAAAGAAAGAAAGAAAGAAAGAAAGAAAGAAAGAAAGAAAGAAAGACTTTCCTCCGTGGCTTCATAATCTCCTTGATGAGAAAATTTGGGACAGCACTGAGTTACAGGATGTCACAGCACAGGTTCTCTCATGGCCTGAGTCCTCACTGACCTCGAAGGGCTAGAGCCATAATATTGGCTATCCTTATAGCCCCTCTATTTCTCTAATTTTTGGTCTATAAACTTTAGTTGCTAACCATGCAGAAGAGAAGCTTAATGATATTATTTCCCTGTAACAGAGGCAATTGGACTTAACATCTCTCTCTGTCTGAATATCAAACACCTTAGACATAACATGGAACTGCTATTTTCCAACAACTATAGATATTCTAAACTTTGTATCCCTACAGAATGTGATAAAAGCAATTACATATTTTTACACCAAAATTTAGAAATCAAACCATATATAGCACTGTAGCAAGAAAAAAAAGTCATAAGACTGTCCTGCTACAATTATATATATGGTTTGATTTCGAGACAAATTTAAATCCTCATCTTGGGCCAGGAAAAGCAGCACTGGTCAGGTGGCAAATGGGAAGAAGGTGGTCCAGTCAGACTGGCTGGCTGCGCAGATTTTAATAGAGCGACTGTTTCCCAAGGTTACTGTGGGCAGCTGCTGGTAGGAACCGGGAAGAAGCAGTGTAGCCCAAAGGCAGTGTGGGCAGGAAGCTGCCACCCAGCTTGACAGAAACAGCAGGGGGGCAGTGACCAGGACTTCTGGGGATGGCTGTGCAGAGGGAACCCGGGTGACCTTTCCTGGAGTAGTGCAGCCACCTTGTGCTTTTTGCCAGAAAAGTTGCCTGGCAAAAGCAAGCTAATGTCACCGCTCCACCTGCTGATTTCTTGCAGCTGCTTCCTATTGGCAAAATGCCACTGGGATCCTGGACCAAGGGGCCTCTGACATGCAGAGCACAGTGCAAATGGAGAGGCTGGCATTTAGAACATAAATATCTTCAGTACTCACACTGAAAGTATTTAAGATATTTAAGAGTAATGTGTCAACATCAGAGAAAGCACTATCAGCAAAAGTTTACACTGACCGAAAGATCTTCCCTTTGCCAAATCCCTAGAGTGGAAGCAGATAGGAAACAAAGCTCTTAGCATTTTATTTTCCTTATTCTTATATTGGTCTTTGATTCATGGATGGAAGTCTAGGCCAACCTGGTCCAAACTACATCAGCTTGTACATATTTCTTTTGTACATTTCTCCCAAGCATCAGAATAGGTGTACATTGGACACAGAGATAACAACTAACAAATGATGGCAATATTGATCTGTCAAATGTGTAGCTCTTGAGAAGGTTATTCAACTGAGATTATCAACACTGGATAGAGTAACATTTGCAGAGAAAAGGCATGGAAAGCGGACACTGCTGGGAAAAATACCAAAATCTCATTTTTTTAAATAACACCTTTTCTTTCTCCTTCTTCCTATTATTTGTCTTTCATTTAAAAAGTTCGTTAAAGGGATAAACTTGAGTCATTTGTAGGAAAATGGGTGCACCTTGCAACCATAAAGTTATGTGAAATAACTCAGACACACAAACTTAAAAACTGCATAGTTTCTATTATATGGCAATA